TGCTTCCGAATTAATTTAACAGTTTGAAAGGTTTTTACAACAAAAACAATTTATGTAGATTAAATTAACTTGAATAGCTTGAATTAAATTGAACAGACTACAAAGTGACTTTGTGACATTAAATGATAAACAAACGGGGCTCACATCTATATTAGTAAAAATGCTCAGGCTCTGATGGCAGAAACTTATCTGGCTCGATTGGACAGTCGAAGATTTTTCCAGCTTTAACTGGGCCATTGATCAAAAGATATTACAAATGTCTGGTTGCTCTAATGGCAGTGTTCTACAGCTCCACGGCTATTCTACTGCTTTTACACCTTCATCCATTCTATCCTCGTAACCGCTTTACCTCTTCGTTGGCCTCTTTATTTCAAGGTATCTATCCTCTTTATTGTAACCGCTTTACCTATTTGTTGCGAGGTTTCCTCTATGTTAAAGAGAAAAAAAAACTTTTCCATCTCTTAACATGTATTACACAAAAAAAAATACATTTAATATAAATCAATTATTAACATTACAGCGATTGATTAGATTCGCAACAGTATTCAGTTACCTTGTTAAAAGATAAAAAAAACGAATATCTAGATATAAAAGCTAAATATGGCGGCTTTCATGGCGTGCTAGCTATATAAAAACGAAAAAGCATTTTAAATGTTAACAAACTAAAATCTATTCGTAGAACTCACGTAATAATCTACAAACGAGATGTTAAACCTGTAATCACTTATCAAGCAATTCTAAATAACCAAATATATTAAATAATTACCTTTGGTCGCCGAACGCCAGACATACACAAAACGAATCAATAACAGCTGGTGGTACCGGTTGAATGAGAAAAGAGCGGCCGATCATTTGGAAACTGCATAAATGACAAATTTCATCATAAGATCGCGCAAAAGAGAAACTATTGATTTTAACCTTTTACAAGTAGCCTTGACAGTACTTTCTCGTACCAGTAGCGTACCTGAATGTTTTCCCCAGGAGGGTATAATTATTGAATATCGTTTATATTCAGGAAATAAAACTAAAACGTTATTTATAACATTACATGCACTATGTCATTCTAGTCAACTTTTCAGTCGAGCAGATTAAGTGTTGTTTGGACACTTTTTGTGTTTCATAATAATTACATAGATATACCTAATATTTCGACAAAATATGCAGTTGGACACCCAATTATTGTCACAATATTTATGTATTGTTTATTAATCTAACTAATAAAACTTCCAATTTTTTTAATTTGATTTTAAACGGAATCTCGGTTTATGATTCAAAATAGAAACTGGTTAGAAGGCTTTAGTTTGACAATACCCCACCCTTTACAATAACAACGATGCCATTTGCAACAAATAATACAGGCCCATGCAAGTTTCAGTTGTTTTAACTATATGTTTTAAGTGTGTATTTTGGCTACATATATAATGATGAGCTTGCAAAAATAATTAAGACGGACTTTCTGGTGTCCATTTTAAATAATTTTGCAATTTTAGGATTTATAACTTCAACGTCATGTATGTGGAAATATATGCTAGAGGATAGGATTCAGCTCTTGGAGACTTAATCATGATATCAAGTACTGTAGAAATATAAAAAATTCTGACGATATTTACATCAAAAGTTAGTAGAAAGAAGTTTCTTGAAATTCGGCTCATATACAGTGCAACCTCGATAATCCGAACCCACGCTATTTCGAATTACGCTAATCCGAACGCAAATCGTGATGCGAGATAGTCCGACCGCCGCCTCTGTAATCCGAACGCTGATAGGAAAAAACCTGCAGCGCGGCCCGCGTCGCCCATATGTAGTTTGATAATGCATTTAAATGTACAAAAATCAATATACATACATAGATCTAAAGGTCTAAAAATGTGTAAGAGGTGTTTTATTGTATATTCGTTAATCCGAACAAGGTCTGACAATTAGGTGTTCGGATTAAAGAGGTTGCACTGTAGTAGGTACTATCTTGCTTGTTGATAGGACATTTCACTGCTAGATCGATTGCAACAAAGTATTTTCATCTTCTACAGGGTAAGAATTAACGATACATTTATAATTTAGCCTTCTGCAAATGTGTACTAAAAAAGTTTGGCTGGCTCCCTACTATAGAGAATCGATGACAGTTGTTTAAAGTAATGATGACATTGGGAAATCGTCGTAGCCAACCAGTTTTAAGACGAGGACAAGAAACAGCAGAAAGTGTTTGGAAAATTATTAGATTCAAAAGTCCCTCGCTTTTTTCGCGCATGAGTAATGCGAAATTGTCGAACAATGGAAAAGGTTCATTATTTAGTTACACTACCATTAAAGTATAACACTAAACCGCACTATACTCTGCTTTTATGTAACATCACTGAACTGTAGACACCGAAATTTAATACAAAAAAATTCCCTGTTGAAATCTAAATCTTTCAAGTCTAAAAATCCCGTTTCTTGGTTTAATGAACAATTAAAAGAGATGAGATGTACTTTATCTAATCTTAAATTAATAACGGATTCTACAAACAGGCTTTTGATGAAAACATTATAGTAGTCATCTAAAAATTGGTAAAAAATCAGCATACGACAATTTTATAATTAATTCCTGGAATACATCCAAAGCTTGTTGGAAAATAATTAATTTTGAAAGAAATCATAGTCAGACTAGTTCCAATTTTACAAATATATCATCAGAATTTTTTTTTTTTTACAAGCGTGGCTGACAATGTAATAGTCTCTTCCACTGCCTCAAATATTGATTTACTCTACTTCAAAAATTATCCTGTACACCAGCCGCCTCTAATAATAATAATGGTATTGATAACTTTAATAATATCTATCAAAGCTCTCACGAAGGCATTAAGTGATGAAAATTATTCATGGTACTCCATAGAAAATAAAAAAAATCGACCTATTAAGGTAATGGCTACCAAATTGCACCACTCCTGTGATCTTCAACAAATAACTAATGATATAAAAAAAAAGAGCAACGAGAAAGTTAAAATCAATATCTAAGAAGCAAATTTTTATTATGTTTTAGTCTAAGAGAATATCTTTAAATTTTTAATTAGGTGGATAGCTGTCCTCTGAATGATAACAATAGAGGAAAGTGTTATTCGTGTAGCGCTTCTCAATCATGTAAATAGTGATAAAGATTGTGTCTAATTTTAATAATTTCTAAATAAATCGGAAGGTTAAATGAGGAGAAATATATTAGTGGTTTGGGACTGAGGACATGTGAGTGAAGTCAAAGCTGTATTTTTAGGCACTTCTGCATTGACCAGGTATGTGGAACTTATACACGATTAAAAGGGGAAATGATTTGCACATTTTTTTTGTAATGTATTTAATAATATTCTTTTTTTACATTAATATAAATACTACAACAAATATACATGTTTATTTTGCTATCTTTGCTATATTAACATTTTCTTTATCCATTTTTTTATGTTTTGACAATTTCAAACTGAATCAATGGTATTTCGCTGAACTATTTTATAAATTCGGTACTACCAACGAATATAATATGATAGATGCGCCCGTGGTATTTGCGCACAAGCGTACCTGCTTTTCAAAAGCTGTCAAGTTAAAATATCTGCGATTCATTTTTTAACGCTCTAATTTTACAAAAGTCTGGGTATACGCCACCAATAATTGATCTCTTGATGATTTTGGTGTATATGCAACCCACATTACATTTATGCATTGTTCGTTTCAAACGGCTTTCTTTATTAATATTAAATATTAAATTTTTATGCATTCAATTTGGATGATTTGTAAGATTATTTTCAATTAATTATAATATTAATTAAGGTAATAATATAATAAACAATTGAGCTACTGCGTTTTGGGGAATCTTCGCATGATTATAACGATTTTAAACCGTCCTCAAAAGTAAGCAGAACAAAGCTTATGAACTATAAACATTTACATATTTATTTTTTTGGTTTATTTTTCCATAAATGGTCTAATATGTATTATTTAGCAGTTTAATTATCACACGAAATACAAAGAATTAATGTTCAATTTAATAAACAATTATTGAATAAGCTGATATGAGCAGATATTATTCTTTGATCTGTATCAGGGGCCAGGGAGCGATGTTTGATCTAGATTCTGTTTTTTTTATCACATGAGCCCTCAAATTGGATACTGTCGAATAACTTTTTTGGCGTTCGCCACAAATCACCTTTGTCATTTTTAATGAGAGATGTACTTTTCTATCACTTTTACTATGCAAAATAAATATTAAAAGGAACACAGAAAAAAAAGTCAAGTAACTTAACCTCAACTGGGTAAATTGAAATTGAACCTTCTTACAAGTTATAAAACTATTAAAACGCAACACCCAATGCGTCAAGCGTCATACGGGTTGCATATACACCAAAGTCATCAAGAGATCAATTGAATTGGTGGGGTATATCCAGACTTTTGTTCTAATTTTTGTTTACTGCTATGAATCATTGGCTCGCCTATTGTTGGAATAGTTATAGCCCACCTTCAAGCCGTAAAAAAAATCTTATTTATTTCTTATATTTTATATCTATTACATCAACGTGGGGATATAATAGTGAAGAAAAAATACTTTCTTATTTAGGTATTAAAATATTAAATAAAAATATGAAAAAACGCGGAACTTTTGTTTTCGTACTTCGCTTACTGTTAAATATTTTAATTCATGGCAACGACAAGCACACCGTACATTAAACACTAGTAGAGACCGATTACAATTAGAAGAACACAGCTAGGTCATAACTATTATTTCGAATTTCAAATATATATCATCTATAACTATCAATGAACAAAGAATATGTGACTTGTTGGGTTTAAAAATATTCCTACATTCCTATAATTATTTCCAGGGAGTTCATCGGCAAAATAATGTTAAAAGAAAAGGCCCCGTCAGAGTGATATAACTACTTATTTTATGAACGATGCCGAGGTTATTAAATATTTGGAGTCAGGTGCATTCTTTAGGAAAGTGTAAATGTATTGGATTTCTAACTTCTCATCAGATTTTCGTTTCAAAAGAAAACTAAGTTGGAATATTTACTGATATCGACATAAATTTTAATAAATACTGTTCTCAGCATCGAAGACCACAACGTCGTCGGCTTAAGTTTTATACAATTCTCCATAGTATGCACAGTTTCCGAAAATGGCTCCACTTTTTTATCCCTGCAGTCCAAGAATTTTGCATAGATTTCTTCATACCTCTTTTTCGATTTTGCTGGTATTAAATCCGAAGAGATTTCTTCAGCTTTATTTTTTATTTCTGGAGAAATACAGACAAATACAGAGACCGTATCTATATGGGTCCTTTTCAATAACTTTTTAATTTGGGTGATCATAACGATTACACCTACATCTCTCAAGATATTTAGCAAAATGTTTGCCAAGATTTATAGTTTGATACCTGACCGACTATAACAAAAACAAAAATTCACAAATAGTTTATGTCTTATATGGCTCCCTTGATTTTTTCGAAACTTCCAGATGTTTCCTAACACGGAATGACATTTCTAGACTGTTCTGTCTTATTTTATTCGTACAGCCGCATGTTACTGCAGGGTGTAGGGTAACAATATATTTATGTCCCGTTGCAATTTTACGAATAAACTATAAACAAATTTGGAACTGACAATGTCCTTTAAAAGCAGGTGTACTCGAAAAGGATGCTTGGGCACAAGTACGACACTTTTACGTGGATGTGGCAAGTACCACAGGCGCATTTACCACGAACCCACTACCAACAGATATTAAACACTGAATTATAAATCAAATGCTAAAATTATTAACCAGTAATTCTTAATAATGTTTAATCAGAGTGAAGCGGCCCTAAGTGTATTTTCAAATCGAATTTTGGGCTATTGCACGCACTGAATTTTTTTTCTTAAGAACTTTTAAGTGCATATTTAAATGGTATTTCCGCTTCAACTGTTTAGAACATTATGCACACACAAATGGTTTCTATCCAGAGTGGTCCTTTAGGTGTATTTTTAAATTATATTCCTGGGTAAACTGTTTCGAACACACTTCACACTTGAACGATTTTTCCCTAATGTGTCCATTTAAAGTGCATTTCTGGCTAAACTGTTTCATATTGCACACCCGAATTATTTTTTCCAGTGTACACTTTTAAGTGTCTAGTTAAATTGGATTAATTGTAAAACCGTTTTGAACATATTTCACACATGAATAGTTTTTCTCCTGTGTGAAATATAATGTGTTGTTTCAAATCGGTCTTCTGTTTAAACAGTTTCAAACATATTTCACACTTGAAAGGTTTTTCTTCACTATGTGTTTTTAAGTGTTCATTTAAATCGAATTTATTGTGAAACCGTTTCGAACATATTGCACACACAAATGGTTTTTATCCAGTGTGAATTTTTAAGTGTTTTTTTAAATAGTATTTTAGCTTGAACTGTTTGGAACATTTTTCACATCGGAACGGTTTTTCTTCAGTGTGAATTATTAAGTGTCTATTTAAATTGGATTTCCGGCAAAACCGTTTAGAACATACTGCACACATGTATGGTTTTTCTCCAGTGTGAGTTATTAAGTGTCTTTTTAATTCATATTTTTGGTAAAAGCGAATTAAACATATTTTACAACAGAACGGTTTTTCTTCAGAGTGCCTTTTTAGGTGTACATTTAAATTGCATGTATGCTTAAATTGTTTCGAACATATTTTACACTTTAAACGTTTTTCTTCAGTGTGAATTTTTAAGTGCTTATTTAATTGACATTTCCATATAAACTGTTTTGAACATATTTTACAATTGAACAGTTTTTTTCTAGTGTGCCTTTCTATGTGTACATTTAAATGGTATATTTGATTAAACCGTTTCGAACATATTTCACAACGAAGCGGCTTTTCTCCATTACGATTTTTAATAAGTTCTTTTAAATAGGATTTTTCCCTAAACTGTTTCGTACATATTTCACATCTGAATGGTTTTTCCTTTTCTTTTAATTGCGATTTCATACATTCCGTACTGTTAAACGATTTAAAACATATTTCACACTTATAAGTGTGAACGATTAAATGACGAATTAAAGAACTTTTTCGATAAAAGTTTTTAGAACAAATTTCACATTTGAATAATTTTTTTACTGTATATTTTTTCGTGTACTCATCTAAAATGGTTTCAAAAGCTTTTAAGCGATATTTACATTTCGATGGTGATTTGGTTTGTAGGTATTTTACATAATGGTAAATAATAAAATGATCTAAAAACAGCAACCTATTAGGAAAAAATCGTCCGCAACAGAAGCAATCCTGATAGAAGTTTGCAAAGCTACCATTTGATTGATTTCCTCTCCAAAATGGCGACCGATCTGAAACTAAGAAATCAATTTTAAGTTGAATGTCAATGACAAGTGACAGCGATTTTCTAACAAAGAAAATACAGCGCTGAATGATATTTCCAGGAAAAAAATATTGAAAGATATATAATTTGATATATAAGTGTTTTTGTTATGTTTGCGGATGTTATATGATCAGAAAAAGTGGCAAAGTTATTACTAATGTGATCAGAAATGCATATTTTTGTTTATTTTGGTTTCTTTGTATCAAACACTCACAAGCCGTGGGTACCGAAATTGTTTTGTAACACGTGTAGCACAATATTATACAAGTGGTCACGCGGTAAAAAAGTATGTTTTCCATTTTCATTGCCAATGTTATGGAGAGCGCCGAAAAATCATGTAGATGATTGTTACTTTTGCTTGATGAATGTCGTCGATCTAAATCCAAAAAAACTAGCAAAATATAAATATCCTGAAGTATCATCAGTGTCTAAGCCAGTTCCCCGTGCGAGCAATGATCATTTTCCAATTTGTCCAGGTACAAGTGCAAATTTCATGGAAACTTGTAGTTCATCACCGACGAACAGTGGCAGCGATTTTAACATGGATGAAAAACATTTGGTTTCGCAAAGTGAACTCAATGATGTGGCTCGTGACTTGAATTTATCGAAACAAAAATCAGAATTGCTCGCATCACGGATGCAAGAGTGGAAATATCTTGACACTCAAACAAAAGTCACTGTATATAGAACCAGAAATGAGGCGCTTTTACCGTTTTTCAAAAAAGAGGAGAATATATGCTTCTGCTATGACATCAACAGTTTGTTTGATGCGATGAAGATAAAGAGCATCAATGGAAAATTTGTGTCGATTTGAAGGTTTGAAAATAAACGTCAATTCAATTTTAAAGAATAAATGATTTATATACTATTCCAACAGGTTATTGGTCTCTTGATGGGGATGCAATCTGGTTTTACCAAATTTTGCTGTTTTTTGTGTCTGTGGGATAGCCGTGCAACTGACCAACATTATGTGAAAAAAGATTTTCTTGTCACCTCTCCACATAAAGCTTGGCCTTATCAAAAACTTTGTCAAAGCGCTCGACCGTGAAGGACCGGCTTTTGAGTACTTTCCCAAATTGTCGTACGCCAAAATTAAAGAGGGAATATTTGTCGGATCTGATATTCGAAAATTATTGGCCGACAGAAACTTTACAAAATGTTTAACGCCCAATGAAGCAGCAGCATGGGTATCATTTCAAGATGTTCACAACATTCACGGTAACCGCAAATCCCCGGATTTCAAGCAGATAATCGACAGTTTATTGCAAAATTATTGCAAGATTGGAACTCGAATGTCTCAAAATACATTTTCTGCATTTCCATCTCGATTTTTTTTTCTGAAATCTTGGGTGATACAAGCGTAGTGCAAGGAGAACGACTACACCAAGATTTGGCGAAAATCGAAAAACGTTACCAAGGATTTTGGGACGAGGGTATGATGAGCGACTACTGTTGGACTTTAATGCGTGAAACAGATCCCAAACAGTACAAGCGACTCAGTTCGACTGCTCTTCATTTCTAATTTAAGACTTTTTAATGAATAAAATGGAAATTAATTGTCAAAAATTGTAAAAAATGTGTTTATTTAATATCTCGAAAACTAGAACCAATATCAAAAAATGGAGTGCAGATTCGGATTCAGCGCCCCAAATAACCTTAGAAACAGCTTTTGGTTGCTTAGATCCAAAACCGTGTATACTTGTGTAATTAATTAATTATTTGGTATTTGATACGCAGCCTATGCTGACTATGTTACTTTCCGTCGGAATTTTCATTCATAGACAACAGTGTTGATCATGCATATGACTCACATTCTCCAATATTTTGCTCTAGTATAACGATATTTGATTTATACCTTTAACAAATTGTGAAATCAGCAAATTTTATTATTGTTCAACATGAAAGGAAATATATCTTATAAAAATTGAAAATTGTTTATAATCATTTGTTTGGGAATATAAATATGTTATTACGAAATTCTTAAATTACATACTGGAATTTGAAATAAAAATAATTTTCCTATTGCAGATGAATTAAATATTAAATATGAATATATTAAATTTGGAAAAATTTATTAATTAGAGTTTGTGACAATACTCGTACTCGTATATAACTATTATTTTCATTATTAATTTCGCTGCAAGATCTGAGTTATTTATGTTATTATATGTTTTTGTTGTAGGCGAGAAATTAACGAGTACCTAACTCTTTAAAATTACATCAAAAAAGTGTTCGAAAATAATATTAAAATAGGAATTACAATACAGGGAAAAAATCATTAAATCTAAGGTTATGCAACTGTTCAAATGTGACCATATTCATAAGCGAGATTTTTACTTTCGCTTATTAAATCTAAATTAAACTGACAGCCGGCTTTGCAAAGGTGTTTAAGTAATACCAGAGATAACAGGAGATGTAACTACTAACAAATATCGTGCGGTCCTGAAGAAGACATATTCTAAGGGACACGGGAGGGTATAATATCCGCTATTGTCATATGCCTATTTCATTATTCTCTTTTGTTTACAAAATTATTTACCTGTATTAAAAAAGCTAAAATAATTCAACCCATTTTATTGCAACTGGACTCAAAAAATTTTGAATCATTAGTTATATCAAATTTAACTAAATTAGATATAATTTCACTAAATTAAATGTAATAATTTTCAATAAATTCCAAAACCTAGTAATGATAAGTTGGAAGTGGCAGCAGGGCTTACACCGGCATTATTATAAGCGCACATCGCATACACATTTATTCATCGATAAAATAAAGTTGTATCTGCGTAAAATCCTTCTCTTTATTCCCTCTTGTACTTCACACCTTTCGTCTCCTCGCCGCGGACCTACAAATGGCATCGTGAATATTATATTTTATCAATGAATGGTTATATCTCTGTTGTCTCTGAGTAATACACAAATATACATTTTTTAAGCCATATCTCTGTTTCATTAAATTAAATGTTTCATAATCTATCAATAGAAAATTACTATTTACCTACAATATAAGTTCTTAACGGTAAATACTAATTCATTACCGATTTCAAGAAATGGGTTACCAAACAGTAGAAATACAGGCCACATCTGTTAATATTAATACCAAAACTTATAAAATTATGATCACAGCTTTATATAGCCCACCAAGACATACTATAAAGAAGCATCAATACGTTAACTTTCTGGGTAGCCAAGGATGTAGATTCATAGTGGGAGGATACTTTAATAAGACTGACAACAACCAAAGGGAAATAACTATTAATCCAGGCAACAAAAAGGTATAGAGGGAAATGTTTGGAATACAATTTTTGACTTCGTAGCTTTCTTTTGACTGGTTAGGAGGTGAACATATCATAAGTCCCCGCCCGTAGCCTTTCAGCCCGGCGGGGAAAGGAGGTCTGAAGGTCCCATTTTTCGTTATTTCGCTTATATCTCGGAAACTATGCATCCTAGCGACATAACTACTTTATATAAAATGAAAGCCTATTAAGTTTTCTAGAAGTTTTATTCAGTCGTTTTTCGATATCTTGTATAAGTTTTCGATATATCAGCTCTTGAAAGTCTGTAATTTTGGAAAAAAACATTTTTGCCTCACATATTTTGCTCTTTTTGACCGGATAACTCTTCAACGATGCACCAAAAAAAAATAAATGCCGACCATAGCATTGTAGAGAATTCAATTCCTTTCAATAATATATATTAGTTTACTATTTTATCTATTTTCCTTCAAATGTTAATACAATTTCAAAATTGAACGTGAAATCTGAAATTTGAAAATAAAAATAATATCAGACTGACATATTTATGGCAACGTAACCTAAATTTATTTTTAAAATCAGATTTACACCATCTCATAATATTTAAATTTAGCTTTAACTTTACATTTATTAACGATTATCCCTGTATTTGATCACACATTATATTAAAGTGAAATTTAAAGGGGTAAATCAGTAAAATTATTGATTTCTTTGTCATTATTTTTGAAAACATATTCTTTATGGGTGTAAAACGGGTTGGAATTTAGTGGTAGCAGCGCGCTAAGCGCTTACGGTTGAACTACCAACAAGGTAACAAGTCCCGCCATTTATTCAAACCTTCTCTACACAAACTTTTGTATTTTTGTTCCGAATCAATTAACTTTTAAAGCTCATATTTTATTATTAACTTCTCTGTTCCATTTTTTTCTATTACTTGTTATGACTTTTCCCTTAAGTTAAGGAAACCTTAAATGGTATAGAAAACAATAAGCTGTATAAAGCTAACCTAAAATTAAGCTCAGTTTTAGTACCTACATGTCAATTTCCGGTTATTAGATGCAAATATGTTTTTTTTTTGCTTATTAGGAGTCAAATATTAGTACGGATTCTGTTAAACCTAGATAACTTACACCAAAAATTATAGCCAATTCGATTTTCTCTTGCCAAAAATCTAATTGTTCCGACTGTTGTTATGTTTATGTGTGAGAAAATAAAATAACTACCTGAATTTTTGTATAACTTTAACACCCTGTATCTCAGTAAGAATTAATATTTTACCCCCAGTTATTAAGCAAAAACATAGTAATTAAAAGGAACCAAAAGAGGTTAAAGGTTTTGTACACGCAGCTTAGATCAACAAAGAAAACAGTGTGAAAAAACCACAACTAAAGTGTTATCCATTCCATATGAATCACCCCGTATATGTTTAAATTTCTCTGTTTGTCTAAACAAGAGGATGGGAAGAAATTTTTGACTTATAATTGTAAAATGCCGATGTAAATTGTTATTTTACGTACAAATTAAGTATTTTAAGTTAAATGTTTACCACCAAAAAAATTGTTTCTAAACCTAAGAGTCTTGATTACATTTAGGCGATACCCCGCCCCGCGCACATATAAAAGATTTGGACCATCATTTATGCTCCCTATCAATCAAGAGACGCAAACGTCTTACACTGCCGAGCATAAAATTAAGAGTCACCTAGTAATTTGCATTTATTTTAGAAATTTTTAGTTTTTTCGGTTGAAACATGATTTATTAACTTTATGCGATGATTAAATAAAAAAAGATGTTAGCGGCTATAGAAGATAGCCGTGGTCAGCTAGCAACTTTGGTGTTAGTCTTTATCTAAAATGGGACTTAGACTGCTCATAGGTAACTGTCAGAGGTTCTAGAACCTTTCATGTTTATTCTTGGAGAAGACGCAACTTTTATGCATGTTAATATTTTGCACCGTTGTAACCAGACTGCTTTTGAGCTTGAATAATATTTACTAATAGTTTTTGTAATGCCAATTTTACTCTAAATTCCTAATTAAACTGATAAATGAAGATTTTCTTAGAAAAATAAAGACCTTTGTTGATGTTTCTAAGTAAATAGGATTAAAAAATTCGATGTGTTTGTTCTCTGGGTGAAGTTTCGACTTATGTTGGAAATTTATTAAACCCTTAGAGCATAGGGGAATACTCGTATAAGGATTAAATTAGATAATTTTTAATAAAAAAAATCAAAGAAATAAATGCACAAGGTGTCACAAAAAGTCTGCACCATATTAAAACTTTGTATTATTTTATGGTTGATTTTTCAGAAAATGTTATTCTTGATATAAGTTATAAGACCTATAGATATAAGACCTAAAACTCTGCTTACATATTAAAAAAAAATGTACCATATTGAAAAAATGTACCCTGCATTTGTATGGTGGTCTAGTGTAACATAAGTGGTATGGTGGGGGTATGAATAATACCAATAAAAACAATTTCGTAAGCTGCAGGGTTCGCCAAATTGGATTACAGAATAAAAATTATATTTAACAAACATAAGATCGCATGTTATATAATCAGTAACGTGCTTCATCATTGTGTGGAGTGGCCTGGTGTGCCAAAAGCGATTTTCGTAAAATTAATCATTTTCTTCAAAATGTTGAGAGAGAACACAACTATATAATGATTTTCTGTCTTTGGTGAATGAGCATATGTAACATTGTGTGGATATTGCGTTTTTTTTCGAGCCTTTCGTTATTAGCCTGTTTGGATCTGATGGATTATTGTGGGGTATATGACATGAACGATCCGAGTCTACTGCTCATTGCACGTAACACGTAACGCCGTTAGATCAAAACCGAATATGTTTGGTATTAGCATGTAGAAAGGATTAATATGAAGATACATATGAAGTCTCGTAAAGCTGCTGTCCGCTAATACGTTGTGGCGCCGTTTTATATTGCGCTGGGGTATAATATATCCCACTATACCTCCGCCGAGTTAAGAATCAATATGAAATCACAGCCACCTATATAAAAAATACCCTTGCCTAATTTTATATTTTGTTTGTATTTTGTTTATATTTTATTTATAATTTGTTAATATTTTATTTTTATTCTGTGTTTATATTTTGTCTATATTTTATTTATATTCTGTTTATATTTTGTAAAAAATGGTTCAAAATAAATTCAAACAAATTCAGACCCAAAATATCAAAATCTGGTTTAAATAAAATAGAAAAACTTACTTTTTGCAGAACAATTTCCAAATTTTCCGAGGATATGCTTCAATTTTGATTTTGAACAGGGAAAACCTGTAAAATAAATAAAATTACTAATAATTTTCTTTAAATTTTGAATCGTGAGCTAACTATTTTTATTTTGCCTATTTGCCCTCATGAGCGTCAAAAAAAATATATTTTGAAGCAAAACATTTTGCAAAATAACTTTATCTAAACTTTCAGCAACCGCAGCGCGATTTGTCTGCAGTTTCAGTGTCATTAAAATTGTAATTAAAAACAAGGAGGTTAAGTACTTTACTGCCTAGGCCAATAATGCGACTGCAAGCTGTAGTGATAAGGTTGTAAAAGGGGTATAGTAATAATAATAATAATAATTGTCATTTATTGAACTGAAAATTCAGTCCAATAGGCTATCGACCGAAGTCCTTCTGCCTAGAGGGGTATAGTATTTTCAATATTTATTTCTTTTTTATTTTTTGAGAATAAATTCGCAAAACCAATCATATGCGGTCAATACTGTTGCTGTCTATGCAACCACTAAATATGTCAAAGGTATCTCGAATTTTTAATCTTCGGAGTGCATGTCAAAGAAGGCAGCAGAGCACCTAAGAAATTTTGAGATGAAACCTATGCCATATTTTTAGGCTATTTTTATACCATCTTTAAAAATTTTATGCTCCTCGTTTTTTGAAAAAATCAAGTTTTTATAGCTTTTTTCTAAAAACAACCACCCCGCATTTTTAGGCTATTTTTAGGCTCTTAATATATTATAAAACTTTACTAAAGAATTGCTATTTATAAATAATACAGGGTACCTACTTTATTGGAACAAAGTCAGCAGAGCACCTCAGCTTTTTAAAGCTTTTTTTTTTCTAAAAACAACCACACCGCATTTTTAGGCTTTTAAAATATTATAAAACTTTACTAAAAAATTGCTATTTTTAAATAATACAGAATTACTTTTTGAAACAGTCAGCAGAGTACTTTGGTTTATTATTTTTTTCTGGAAACAATTACTTATGCCACATGTGCTTTGTGCTTTGCTAGCTTCGAATGAATCTACCTTGGTTTTTTAATTTTTTTTTTTTTAAACAACCACCCCACATTTTTTGGCTCTTTTCGAAAAGTTTTATAATATTTCAAGAGCCTCAAAATAACTTTAAAATGTGGCAAAAGTCGTTGTTTCAGAAGAAAAAACTAATAAACTGTAGCGCTCTGCTGACTTTGTCCCAACAAAGCACCCTGTATTATTTATAAATAGCAATTTTTTATAATATTTCAAGAGCTCTGCTGGCATAGGATTCATCTCAAAATTGTCTAGGTGCTTTGTTTACTTGTTCGACATGGAGTGCATACTTAAAAACAAAAAACTGAAAAAGAAACTAATTCTAGAATAATTTACAAGTTTAGCAATTATCAGAAAACTCTCAGCATCAAAGAAACATGCTTTAAAATATTAAATGAAACCAGTTTTACTTTAAAATTTACAACAGATTACCTAATAAAACATTTAATACTTATTTTTGTATACTTATATAAATTATCCTTTAGCAATATAAGGTGTTATCATTATACAAAAAAATTGTAAGATTAATTTTAGATCTTGACTACAAGGAAGCTTGCAGGAATATACCTATTTAAAAAATAATATATTGACCTGTATAAACTCTTAACATATATCCACATCCACAACAATAATCAAATTAAAAATTATATAATATGATTGGATTACATTTCCAGAACTCACCATAAGAAAGCTTCATTTCATGCTGGAGCCTATCTAAACTGTTACCTTTTAATTTTAAGGCTGTTTCTACTCGGATGAATTTATAAACTATTTTAAAATTTTTATTATATTTTTACATACATATGTGAGCATTGTATGTTGATAAGAACTATTTGTTATCTTATTTTTGGGCAAAGAATCACCTCACGAACGATGGCACGTTTTTTGAAACACCCTGTATAGAATGAAAATGTTTTAGATTAGATTATTTTCTACCCCTTGTCCTTTTCAAAAACAAATATATACACCCCACAAAAATTATCGCATCACTAAAATGTTTGCAATGTATGTTTATAAAAACAGGCAGTGCTAAAAAACTGTATTTCTCCTCTAATAACAGAGAGAATAAAACAATCAAAAAAATAAAATTTTGCGAAAAATGAGGCTAAAGTAGGCTATTAATTATAACATGCTATTATTGCTGGTACACTCCACAGGGTGTTAAGAATTTTCCAACCAAAAACCTATATTATTGTAACATCCGGTATACACTCTAAAATTAAATTTTATTTAAAGAATCAAAGAGATTACTATTCCTGAAGAATCAACTTATCTTCCAAAAAAAGAATATCCAAATCAATCAAACGGTTCAAAAAAAAAACTCCAAATTTTTGAAAACTATTAGTGATGGGATAATTTTTGTGGGGTGTGTATATATAGGTATGTATATAAAATTAATCCATATGTTTGAGACTATCTGTCTCTCTTAAGCTTCCTCTATCTATCCTAATTCAAGGGATTCGCTGTGATAAGCCTACTTACTTTTTAGGCAGACAGGACATGTGTATCCACTTTTCTTTTTATTATGAACATATTTCACGGCACTTTTTAAGGATTTCGTTATCCTTTCGGCTTCTACTAGTTTACTGCTACACGACTGTTCGAAATCGTCCGGATAAACAGTACTTTCTTCTTTTAGAGTCGGTAAATCACAATGTGATGTCAAAAGATCGCTTTCAATTTTAAACGGAACATGGTAACTAAATTCTTGTTTAACACTTTTAACCACCAATAAATCTGTGCCAATAACGCCGCGAACATCGCTGGTGTCCTCAATCTTTACCGGCAAATCCGACCATTGTTCCATTTTAGGTTCTATACATTCGATAATTTCCTGTTTAATTTCACAAACATGAGTTCCCTCTGGTCGAACGAAAACACGGTCTGGTTCGATTTTAAATAGCCCTTTGTGGGGGTCGAAAGGATCTTGCCTCACTTCCATTGTTTTTAACTTTAACAACCAAATAGAAGATACTTATATAATAAGCAGATCCACTGTTAATTAAACATCAACAAACAATTTTTTACTTTAACCTCGCTGTTTCGAACGTCAGTCCAGTTAATGTCATATCGGAATTAGACATGAGAGTGGAATGGTAAATGATCTTGGGACTGAAATGGTGCTTAAATATGGCGGACTAGTGTTTCCGATTAAAATGCGAACGATAAATAATAAATGTAATTAGAAATGTTCAAGAAGACATTATAAGACTCTGGCATTCCCGAATTTGTCACAACTTGCTAATGTCCTTTTAATATTACCTCATTCAAACCTTCCAGCATATATATTTCATATTAACTTAGAGATTTTAACTGTATTTTTATTCACGAAAGTGAGTATTTAAAACAAGTGCATGTTAGGTTCCCTGTGACGATCGAGCAAGTCCAAATAGGAAAATCATACTTGAAACGGTCAACGAAAATCGCTAGATGTTATAACAGTTTAACCCCAATCGCCGCGAAGAAATAGATGTTTTTGGAGAGTTTTTGAATTACTTTCGTTGTATATTCTATGTAAGTTTAGGCTTAGATATTTCGTTTCTTATCCTGAACGGAAAACTGTTTTTACTCTAATCAATGTTTTAATGTATTTTGTTTTAAAATATCGACGTAGATAATTTGAAAAGGGTTTTGCAAAAAAATAATTTGCTTTATTTACCTATAAATCAACATTTTAATGGTAATGGCTTTAAATAACCACGAAAATTAGTTCCGTTTAGTATCTCTGGGCCTTTAAAGTGAAAAGTCTATATTCTATTTTTAATAATTTAATTTAAATGAATAATAAATATTTTAAGGTTGTAATTATGGATAAAATTTTCAAAAACGAAATAATGAAACTGTAATAAAAAAGTAAAAACTCAACATATTTTTTGACTTAAAACTTACTTTTCAATAAGTCTTTCGTTTTTGCGCAAATTTTTTTGAAAAAACTCTGTGCATATAGAATGGACCAATAAATACCGCTTTGGCAAATAGCAACGAATTTGGTAGTTTCTCAGGTTCAGACAACAGAGGATAAAAAATTCCAGGAAATGCTACTAGCAAGGAAAATAATTAAAAAAATACATTGAAAGTTTCCCCCGTATGCTTCCTCATTATGTGGGGAAAACTAGTAGCAGTCAGTATTTAGATCCGAAATTAAGTATTCTCAAGATGTACTCATTATATTTAGATTTTTGCAAAGACAAAAATATGTTGCCCGTTAAAAGTAATAAGTATATATACAGAAATATTTTTTGTACTCAATACAACCTCTCGTTTTTCACCCCCAAAAAGAATCAGTTCAGTATTTGCCCAAAATATAATTCCGCAATGGAAGATGAACATCTTAAGAAAGTGCACGAAGATCATGTGACTAGGAAAGAAGAGTGCTATCAAGAAAAACAAGAAAATAAAAGAAAAGCCAACGATGACGAAAGTTTTCAGACAATTACGTTTGATTTGCAGAGTGTGCTTCAACTACCATCATAGACGTGGGACAGTTATATTATAGCAGAAAATTGTGCGTATATAATTTAACAATTTATGAAGAAGGCAAAGAAAATAGAGGTTTTTGTTTTTGTTGGAACGAAATTAATGGAAAGAGGGGATCTAATGAAATTGCAACTATTCTAACCCAGTACATATATAGTATCCTCAATAACTTAACACATTTATCTATGTTCTCTGACACTTGCGGGAGTCAGAACCGAAACCAGTGTAGCAGCAGCTATGCTATATTAGGTCTTTTCCTTTGCATCGAAAGTGTAGGACCGAGCTACACCACTTCTGAAAATATCGTTCCATTTATACAAATTATATGGATGGAACAATATTTTCAGAAGTAACGTAGTTTAGTGCTACACCAATTCTGAAAATATCGTTCCATATATATATAAATTGTATGGATGGAACGATATTTTCAGAAGTGACGTAGCTTAGTGCTACACTTTCGGTGCAAAGGAAAAGACCTATTGTGTTTAAAATCATGTGACAGTTAAAATTATTGAGCATAAACTTTTGGAATCCGGCCACTCCTATATGGAGTGTGACTCTATGCACTCAGCTATAGAAAATTTAAAAAAATATAGGTTAGGTCAGTTTTTGTAATGAACGATTGGAAAGAAATCTTTAAAAGTGCACGAACTAAAAACAAATTAAAGTCATCGAATTGAAGTATACAGATTTTTTAGATTTTCAAGACCTTGTATCTAATATGATTAAGAATAGAAACATGGATGAAGATGGAAATAAGGTGGAATGGTTAAACGTAGTGTTTGAAATATGAAAAAAATAATCTGGATTGCATTTACTATAAGTATAGTAATTTTTCTGAATTAAAAAGAAATCTACGTTAAAGGGAAAGGTAGCAATCGTCAAAAGCCTCATGGGATCAAGAGCCCACTTATTCTGATCAACAACCAATTACAGAGAAAAAGAAAAAAGATCCCATTAAACTATAGCAGAAGTAAAAGTTGGAAAGGCTTTTGCCAGTTCTTCCACTTTATACACATAAATTGACTGGTTTGCGGCGGATCTCACCGAAGTGGAAGCAATACATTGGCGTAAAAAAATATTTTATAGATGTTAATAACAATTTCAAGTAAATATAGTTTAATAAATTGTGAATAGCTGTTGAATTTTTGTAAAATTATGATTTGAATATTATAATACATGTTTAATAATTATTTAGTCCATAAATACATGCGATTGTCCGGTTCCGCCGATAACAATTCAAAATTACTTTTTCTATGAAACAACACTGGCCGGTAAACATTACTGCGAAATTCTCGAAGCCGTCCGACGTGGTTTGACGTTTACTCCCTCTCAATTGCCGCGTTTGAGAATCCACATCAGATGCATTTTTTTACATCTCGAGCCTTTTTTTAACCACATCGAACACATCTGTCCCATTACAATTACGTATACTGAATCACGTGATCAAAGATTTATTACATCTCAGATGCATCCGATGTGGATTCTCAAACGCAGCCTACTCGTATATACCTACCAAAAGCCGTTCCAACTTTTACTTTTGCTACATGTGATTCGTCTATACCCGAAGAATTGCATGCTTGGTATAGGTCATTGCTTACTAAAGCTGATGTACATCAAGAAGAACTGGCTCCTGAACCGACAGCTGATGAATCTGATGAACAGGAAAATTGAATTTATTGTAATACGAACTTCATGCAGTACTGTTTTTGATGTATATTTATGGATATTTTGTTTAAATAAAGACGTTCATTTCAATGGATAACTACTTGATTTCGTCACTAAGTGTTGCACCTCAAGTCACATAGAAAAAGTAAAATTCATTAAGTACGAAAATACTCTTAATTTTGTGAATAATAATAGTATATTACACACCGAGGTGGGAAGAGTTTCATTCCTGTCGTGAGATTAGCGAAGCGTCGAGGTTAGCTATGATCTCGAGACAGGAATGAAACTTCCTACCGAGGTTTGTATACTATTTTATTTACATCATATTTCGATCAAAGTTAATAAATCTCTGTTTCGTTCTGAACATACCTAAAATATTACATTTAACGACAAATTACCAAGCGTGCGGTTTTCTCAGAATAATCAAGTAAATATATTGTTACTGTGATTACGGGGTAAACAACTGTCACCAATATAAATAAATGTCAGATAAAGCCGGATATTAAATTCGCGAATAATAAATATCAAGTAGTTTGTTGTATTTTAGTTCATTGTTGTTTTTTATTGTTTGCCATTAAATAGGTATTTTATAAAATTTGTCAAAAAAGTGTTATTTTTTTTAAATATAAAAAATATTCATCTAAAATAGATGAAATGAGGGCGGGAAGTAGAGGTGTGTAATGTGACACTTCCCAACCTTCAATGACGTTAGTAATGACAACATTACATATATGGTTGTAAATAAAAAATTTAATTTAATGGATAAGCATATTTACTGATGACAAGTAGTACTTTCATTTTAGGTTGAGGTATAAATGTCTACCTCTTGAACCTGTCCTACGTTCTGCAAATTAAATTATGCACTCCTTTCTTCTCTAGACTATAGTAGTTGTTCGATGTTGGTTCAAACCGTTTTCAAACCACATGAAATATATTTAAACCAGTCGACCGCTCGAATATGGCTTATTCAAAAGTTCTATATCAATGACCGTTTCAAATTAGACTAGGAAAATGCTATTTTGAGAAGCATATACAGCAACCTTCGAGTACGAGTATTATGATATAATAATAATAATAATATGTAAGAAAGGTAAATAAACAAAGCGACATTTTCAAAATATATATTTACAACTAATAAAAATTAGATATTTTATTGATTCAAAAACAAACAATTCAATAAAGGTCAAATCGAAATGGCAATCTAATAAAATTTTAAATATAGATTTAAATACAAAATCAAAAACAACGTTTATCATTGACTAATGTATTGAATAATGTTAGGTATTAAACATTATTTAGCCAAAAATAAATTTATGTAATACATTCTTTATCAAAATTATACTAAATATACCTACACAAGAAATATTGTCTAGAAGACGTTGCTTACAATAATCCCACTAAAATCTACCAGCCAATTGTGGACGTCTTAACACATTATTTCTTGAAAAATTTCTATATACCTATAGATATTGTATGTCCTTTTGTGTTTTACGAAAACATTTCTTTTACATATTCAGCTCTGCCGTTTCGACGACATAGTTAATGTTATTTTAAATTATTTACAAAAATGGTTTGGATATCTTATAACAAAACTTATAAATAACTTTCTGAATCCTACTATTTTTTTACAATATAAATGAAAAAAACTAAATTTATAAAAATTTGTTTGACGCCATGCTTCAATTTCTGTAACAGCGATTAAGTTATTTCTTTTTTCCACCATTCAATGGCAGCATATTCGACACAAAACGCATCTACAAAAATAAATACTACTTTCATTTGTGTCGTGACTGTGGTATCATTTCAGAAATGTAAACATGACTTCAATTTTTTAGTTAATTAATTTTAAGAGCATTCATACATTATAATACGAAGTTATCCACAAAAAAATCTAAAGTAGGCCTTAGAAAAATGCCGTACTTCAGGAATATTTTTTTGTGGATCACTCTGTAATTCCTATTTGAATATTACTAAATGAGCATTACTAAATGAATATTAATAAATGAACATTAATAAAAGAACATTACATTACCAAAAGAACATTACTAAAAGAACATTACTAAATGAACATTACTAAATGAACATTACTAAATGAACATTATTAAATGAACATTATTAAATGAACATTATTAAATGAACATTATTAAATGAACATTATTAAATGAACATTACTAAATAAATATTACTAAATAAACATTACTAAATGAACTATTAAGTGAACTAATGTACTATAGTTTCAATATGTGAAATTTGTTCTATGAATTTTCAATAAAGAAAGGAAATTGCAGTTCTAAGCAATTGCAATCCCTTCTTGTTCACACACCACCACGAAATTTTAAATAACATCTCAACAAGTAATTTTACTTCCTCACGCAGAAAGGAAAATTAATGGTAATGGTAAAAGGAGAGGAAAAACGGCTGTACTAGCTTGAAAATATTTTACAGAAAAACTAGAACTCGTTCACTCGTTACATAAAATAAGGCATTTCGTAACTAGTTTCATCAATAGATATTTTATTCATACTCAAACACAATCCCATTTCACCCGGGTGGAAAAAATGGGATACTTTACCTTTTTTAAAAATATGATTTTTTCTAGGTCTGTTCTAACAACGATCAAAAACCAGTCACTGACACCAGGATTCTGCGCAGTTGATTATTTCGTTCGTCAAATAATATAATGCGCAGAATCCTGATGTCAGTGACTGGTTTATGATCGCCTTTGGAACAGACCTTCTATGTTATCGTCAAGTTATTCAGGAACTATACTTAAACATAGAAAGGGAACAATGGAGAAGTTACAGTTAAAAAACAGTAGATTCTGTCACTGTATATAAATTTATATTTTTATCGTAACACATCTAAATTAATTAATTATTGAAGTAACACCCTGTACATAAAATTTTGTTTACTTATGTGGTGAATTTGTTTTAAGTTGTAAACATGTACATGTACAGTAAACCAAATCTAAAGAACCAAGGACGAGCATGTATAATGCTACGAACACGCCTACCGATGAATAGAATTGGTAGCTTACCTAGAAAGTTGTAAACCAGGGGCGCGTATATTTTAAGACATAAAATAAATTGAAAATAGTGAATGATACTTGTTCTTACATATTGCTTAGTGTTATTATTAGTACATAATTGTCAATTAAAAAATCATTATTTTTAAGTAAGCCGACTTTAGGTTAAAGCTGTTCTACCGCTTTCCGTCCGGTATTTATATAAAATTCTGTTACGGTCAGGAAATTATCCTTATTCAAATAAATTAAATTGTGGTAAAATTGTATATTGGTCAAACGGGCCGTACTTTCAAAAAAAAATCAA